ACCTGGGGCACCCCGGGGCACCCCGGGGCACACCGGGGGACACCTGAGATACACCTGGGGACAGCTGGGGACAGCTGGGGACACCTGGGTACACCTGGGGACACCTGAGATACACCTGGGGACACCTTGGGGACACCTGGGCACACCTGGGCACACCTGGGCACACCTGAGATACACCTGGGGACAGCTGGGGACAGCTGGGGACACACCTGGGGACACCTGGGCACACCTGGGCACACCTGGAGACACACCTGGGGACACCTGGGGACACCTTGGGGACACCTGGGGACATTTGGGGCCATCTGGACCCATCTGGGGCAGTTTTGGGGCCATCTGGGGGCACAACCAGGACATTTGGGGCCATTTGGGGACATCAGGACCCCTCTTTCTCTCCTGGCCAGCGGTGAGCGCGGCTCTGCTGGCCCCCGGCTCCCAGCCCGGCTGCTCGGGGACCCGGAACCTGCGGGACAACCTGGCCGACCTGCGGGCCCAGGTGGCCGCCAACCAGAAAGGGATCGGGCTGGTCCGGGAGCTGATCCGGGAGCACGGGCTGGACACCGTGCAGGCTTACATGGGTCATGTGCAGGTACGGGACCCCAAAAAACCTCAAAAACACCCTGAGAAACCCCAAAAACACCCCAAAATACCCCAAAAACACCCCAAAACCACCCCAAAATACCCCAAAAACACCCCAAAACCACCCCAAAATACCCCAAAAACACCCTAAAAACTCCCCTGAGAATCCCCCTGTGTCCCGCGGAGCTGATCCGGGAGCACGGGCTGGAGACGGTGCAGGCTTACGGGACCCCAAAAAACCTCAAAAACCCCAAAAACACCCCAAAATACCCCAAAAACACCCCAAAACACCCCAAAAACACCCCAAAAACACCCTGAGAAACCCCCAAAACACCCCAAAATATCCCAAAATACCCCAAAAACACCCCAAAAACACCCCAAAAACACCCTGAGAAACCCCCAAAACACCCAAAAATACCCCAAAAACACCCTGAAAACACCCAAAACCACCCTAAAACACCCCAAAAATAACCCAAAAACACCCCGAGAAACCCCCAAAACACCCCAAAACCACCCTAAAACACCCCAAAATACCACAAAAGACCCCAAAATACCCCAAAACACCCCAAAACACCCTGAGAAACCCCCCAAAACGTCCTGAGGAACCCCCAAAAAATCCCAAGAAACCCCGAATGCGTCCTGAGGAACCCAAAAAAATTCTTGAGGAACCCCAAAAACATCTGGGGTACCCTAAAAATATCCTGAGAAATGCCAAAAATACCCCCAAAACGCCCCAAAACACCCTGAGAAACCCCGAAATTGTCCTGAGAAACCCTAAAAACACCTGAGGAATCCCCCCAGGATTCCCAAGGAACCCCAAAAATTCCCAAAAAATCCCCAAAACACCCTGAGGAACCCCCAAAAAACCCAAAATACACCAAAAACACCCCAAAATACCTGAGTGACCCCTGTGTAACCCCTGAGTGACCCAAGTGATCCCAGAGTGACCCTGAGTGACCACTGAGTGACCCCTGAGTGACCCTGAGTGACCCCTGAGTGACCCCAGAGTGACCCCAGAGTGACCCTGAGTGACGCCAGAGCGACCCTGAGCGCCCCCCG